TCATCTAGGTAATGTGTCCTATGCTCTTTTTGGGTGTGATCTATGCAGCTATCCAGTTGCATAATGGCAATTACTCATCGTCTATCAACAATCAAAAATCGAAAAGAGGATATCATTCTATTTTAGCGCAAACTGGTTTGACTGCAGTACTATCTAACCTAATAGCTATCCACTTTTTTGTTTGGTTGAAAGATGAAGGTAGTTGGTTAGATATAGGGACTAGTATTAGTCATTACGTTATTGCTATGTCTATTAGTCTAGCTGGATTTCTTTTCACATTATTGGGAAAGGAAATGTTAAGTTTTTCAGTGAGTTCTAACATACATCAAAAGCTGTTGAAAGTATCTAATAAACATGTATAATAACCACCTTTCTGATTATATGTTGTAATTATCCTTTAACGTGTTGAACTTTGGCTACGTTTTGTTTGACTTTTTATTGTACATGGAAAGCTACTTAAATCTAAAATAAAAGTGATATTAATAGACAAATGTCCTACTCAACTCAATGCCCTTAATTGTAAAGATATACCTTACGTTATACGATATGATCAATGACAGCAGAGGGAATAAATACGTTAATGAGTAAGTAATGTCCAATAGAAATTAATAATCCGACTGAACAAGCAGATGTAGGTACATGAATTTGTTTCATAAAAATCAGAAATACCACTCAAATCGGAGTAGTAAGAACATAATTTGAAGGCGAGAGCTGAAGCCACAAACTAGTCACAATTCGATGATCGTTTAATGACACATTAAATTTTAATTACTTTTTTTTCCATTAGTGTATCCTGGTTTGACAAGACCTGAGAGTGTACAGCCATATCTAAGTGTTATTTTTTTAGTACTGGTAGTAACAAAAACACTGAGTATTCACTAGTTTATATGATTAGTGTAGAAACTAAGTGAAGCAGCGACTTATTCATTAGGGAATTCGACTTTTAGTCAACAGGTGGGGCATAAGTCTAAGAACTCTTGATTATTGTTTTAAAATGATACAGTAATATATCGTTGATTGAAGAGCAGATGGTGATAATCTAACAATATCGCCTTATCTATCATTCATTTTGCCTCAACTGTCGGATGAATTATTATTGTAGTCACACCTAATGATTATTACATCGCGAAACTTAAAGACAGTGATATCCTCAAAACTACAAGCTTTAATTTAAAAGGACGTGTCGATTAGAATCCTAAGGATTAGCAATATGGAACTGAGGAAAGAAAGACTTGAAGATTATCAATTTGTCATCAGCATTCAAATAAAATAATTATTAGTTGCTGATTGAATTCAATAATACTGGTGTTCAGTGTATCCTTATGAGCTTTATTTTTACAAAGTATATAGCATGCATAGGTTGGTTTAGATAAAGTAAAAATTTAAGACGGGATATAAATCAACGTTCAACCGTTACGAAGTGTTCGCGCGCATGACCGATAGGTCCAGGGTTAAAATCCCGCGAGCTGGATCGTGGACGCGCAATGCTGAGGAGTCACATACTGGAACGGAATGGCCGTCCGGTGCTTCTAGGTTTCCATGACTACTTACTTACTTACGCCTGTTACTCCTCGTGAAGGAGCATAGGCCGCTCACCAGCATTCTCCATCAAACCCTGTCCTGGGCGATCCTTTCGAGCTCTTTCCAGTTCCTATTTATCCTTTTCATATCTGTTTCTATTTCCCGACGTAATGTGTTCTTTGGCCTTCCTCTTTTCCGCTCCCCTTCAGGATTCCAAGTTAGGGCTTGCCTCGTGATGCAGATTGGTGATTTCCGTAGTGTATGTCCTATCCATTTCCATCGTCTTTTCCTAATTTCCTCTTCAGCTGGAAGCTGGTTTGTTCTCTCCCACAGAAGGCTGTTGCTGATGGTATCCGGCCAATGGATGTTGAGTATCTTGCGTAGACAACTATTTGTAAATACTTGTACTTTCTTGATGATGGCTGTAGTAGTCCTCCAAGTTTCAGCTCCATACAGTAGGACTGCCTTGACGTTCGTATTGAAAATTCTCACTTTGATATTGGTTGAAAGTTGTTTTGAGTTCCATATGTTCTTCAATTGTAGGGATGCGGCCCTTGCTTTGCCAATCCTCGCCTTTACATCTGCATTCGATCCCCATTGTTCATCGATGATGCTTCCCAGGTCCGTGAAGGATTCCACGTCTTGCAGAATTTCACCACTAAGTGTGGTTGGGTTAGTGTTCTCGGTGTTGTATTTGAGAACCTAGGTTTTTCCTTTGTGTATGTTGAGGCCCACTGATGAAGAGACTGCTGCTACACTAGTTGTCTTCACCTGCATTTGTTCGTGTGTATGGGATAGGATGGCTAGGTCATCTGCGAAGTCCAAATCGTCTAATTGATTCTAAGCTGTCCATTGTATGTTGCGTTTTCCCTCAGATGTCGAGGTCTTCATAATCGAGTCGACCACCAGAAGAAAGAGGGAGGGAGAGAGTAAACAGCCTTGTCTGACCCCGGTCCTTACTTGGAATGCATCTGCCAGCTGTCCTCCATGCACGACTTTGCACTGTAGTCCGTCGTATGAGTCCTGGATAATGTTGACAATCTTCTCAGGAACTTTGTAGTGTCGAAGAAGTTGCCATAACGTTCTCCTATCTACACTGTCAAACGCCTTCTCAGTCAATGAAGTTGATGTATGATGATGAGTTCCACTCAAGTGATTGTTCGACGATGATCCGTGGTGTCGCAATTTGGTCTGTGCACGACCGATCCTTACGGAACCCAGCCTGTTGATCTCGAAGTTGGGCGTCTACCGCGTCTTTTATCTAGTTCAGCAACACTCTGTTAAAGACTTTCCCTGGTATTGACAGTAGTGTGATGCCTCTGTAGTTTTCACATTTGCTCAGATCTCCTTTGGAATTTTGATGAGGTGTCCTTCTTTCCAGTCCGTCAGCACTTGTCCTTCCTCCTTATTCTTCTTGAATAAAAGGTGAGGCATGTTTGTGGCTCGATGTCTGAATTCAGTGCTTCAGCTGGTATACTGTCAGGTCCTGCTGCTTTCCCGCTCTTGATTTGTCTGATGGCCATTCTGATTTCTTCCGTCGTTGGTGGATTGACATCTAAAGGGAGATATGTGTGTGCTGCTTCATTGTCCGGTAGATTCAATGGAGCTGGTCTATTCAAGAGTCCCTCGAAGTATTCTACCCACCTGCTCCTCTGTTCTTGATTGGCTCGCCTTCTTTGTTTTTGACCGGTCTCTCTGGTTTACTGTATTTCCCTGATAGTTTCTTCATTGTATCGTAAAGTCGTTTCATATTCCCTCCCCTTGCAGCTTTTTTCACCGTCGTTGCTAGGTCTTCCACCTATTCCTCCTTGTTGGCTCTAATGCTCCTCTTCACTTGCTTGTTTGCTTCTGTGTATTCAGCTTGTGCTTGAACTTCCTCTGCTCGTGTTCGACTGTTGTTAATAGCTGTCTTCTTGTTCTTCATTTCTTTGATCTTGTCCAGTGTTTCTATAGAGATCCATTCCTTATGATGGTACTTCTTTAGACCGAGAACCTCTTGACACGTTGAAGTTAATGCTTCTTTGATGCCTTTCCAGTTGTCCTCCATAGTAGTTTCTTCTTCCTTCAGTAGATCTTGTGAGGCTTGGAACCTGTTGCTGAGAGCTATCTTGAATTCATTGAGTTTGTCAGTATCTCGAAGGAAGGCCGTATTGAACCTTTGTAATGCTGTTTGTCCACTGATCCAGTTCATTTTTAGCTTCAGTTTTAAATTGGCCACAACTAGGTGGTGATCTGAAGCTACGTCAGCTCCTCTCCTGGTTCTCACATCTTCCATTGTCCTACGGAATTTTTTATGGATGCAAATGTGATCTATCTGGTTCTCTGTAGTGTGGTTCGGTGAGATCCATGTAGCTTTGTGTATACGTTTGTGTGGAAATATTGTGCCTCCTATGACCAATTTGTTGAATGCACACAGATTTGCAAATCTCTCCCCATTTTCGTTACTCTCTCCCAGTCTATGTCGTCCCATGATATCTTCATATCCGGTGTTGTCTATTCCGACTTTGGCGTTTAGATCTCCCATCAAAATGGTGAGGTTGTTTCTTGGGCACTTCTCTATGATTGATTGCAGCCGCTCGTAGAATTGGTCTTTAATGTCGTCGTTGCTATGGTTGGTGGGTGCATAACACTGGATAACATTCATTGTAATTCCCTCCATCTTTGTTTTTAATGAGGCTTTGATGATATTGGATCCGTGAGATTCCCATCCTGTAAGTGCATTTCGTGCTTTCTTGGATAGCATTAGAGCAACTCCCTGAGTGTGTGGAGCATTTTCTTCTTCGTGACCGGAGTAGAGCGGCATCTCTCCCGCATTTAGCTTTTTCTGTTCAACTTGGTTCCAATGAGTTTCGCTGATTCTGAGTACTGCCAAATTGTATCTCCTCATTTCCGTTGGTATTTGTCTGGTCTTCTCGGTCTCCCATTGTCCGGACGTTCCATGTATCTATAAAAATTGTTGCTCTGGTTGTTAGAAGAGGCATCGGCCTCGTGATTTCCGAAGGAGCCCGGCTTTCACAATGACGCGTCGTAACTCTTCTAAGCGAAGAACTTCTAACTCCCAGGGCAGAGTTTAAATGGTTTGAATTAATTTTTCTGGTTAGCGTTTATTTAGCGAGTTAATTTTCTACGGGATGGGCACGCTAACCCCATGCCCAACCCTCCTCCTTTGCCCAGGCTTGGGACCGGCAGTAACTCTAGAAGAGCTACAGGCGGAGTTTTTTCCATGATGGTCTAGCTTTAACTGACTCATGAATTCAAATATTAAATTACTAAAATCTCTACAAAACCCCTTCCTGATTTTACTTTTGACGGAATTTTAACGTTTAAGTTCTAAAAAAAATTGCGACAGTTTAAAAAACTAGTCATTTTCATAACGAAATCTGTTTATTTCAAAAGATTATGTCTGAACTTGTTTAACAAATGTCCGTGCAACTAAAATTGGAAATATTAAAGATGCATCGGCATTAATCTTAACCGGTTCAGCTAAACCTTTAATTTTTCCCCAACTTACAGCTTCATCTGGTCTAGCACCGGCGTCACTACCATCAAATTCTTGTCCTGTGTTGATAAGTACACAATAATCAGCTCCATTTCGCATCAAATTTGCATTGAATGTGTGATGTTTTATAAGACCACCACCTAGTACTATCATTCCTGTAGCACGAGCATTAATTGCCAGTAAATTGATATTTCGAATATCTTCAACTAGATCTATTTTTAAACCAGGGGATCGATAAGTGTGGCTAAAAAGGACATCACCCAGCGAACCATCGGTTAAACCGGGACAAAATACCGGAATTTTATTCTGATGTAAAATCAATAGGATGAACAGAATGAAAATTAAAAAGAATGAACATGCAATTGATGGAACAACAAGATAATGATAGGCTGATAGACAATCAGTGATACTGTTTACAGATGTGTTTTAAGCACATGAATTTCCGGAAGTATAGTAATTAAAGTCGAGGAATCGGACTGAATTGCCGATCCCATCAAGAAAACGAATCAACTCGTTGTACTTAACCAGAAAGCAGTTGGCTTTCATTTCATCTCAACATAGTATTACTTAGAAACAATAAACCGTACTCCGAATACCTGTGATCCAATAAATAACATGGTAATCCACAAATTGACTCCAAACAGTATATCAATACAACTAAGTCTCAACCATTTTGTGATAGTAAACAATAATATCCATGGCTAATGGGACATATCTTGGATTTATGGCTCTCTGATAAACAACTTTAAGATCAAAGTGGTGGTCTGGTTTGTCCATAGTGAGAATCCGGTCAATTTTACACAAACTGGAACGCTTGTTCTCTAAATTGATTTGTTATGGAGGACGGTTGAGGAATTAAGCTTACTCTAAGTTAGAGTATTTGGTTTCAAGGATTCTTAAAGACTCAGATACTGAATTTTATGGACTTCCAAATGTAGATGTGGCATGAAATTATAGAACGAACAACATACTTCTTGGGTGAATATGATCTGATAGTCATCCACAAAGTTTTTCAAGGACTTGAAATAATTGTCTTTACACCAATAGAGAGACGGCATCAAGGAATAGTTTTGTCGAGAACATTACTCAAAAATGTCACGCATACAAAACTACTCATAATTACCACAGAACACATCACTACCAAGTATCTCAAGAAACGCTATTTCGACAAATCAATAACAGTGATCATTTGTAACGCTGCTCCAACTTACTCTGATGCTAACTTTGAACATATCAAAATAGATTGCTTAACTTGGCGATTGCCATATTATGCTTAATAATAAACACATTCTGATTATATCCTCACGCAATGTGGAGTAAAAGCAGGTGAACACCCAACTATCTAAGAGTTTACACAATGGTTTACAGCAGTTACAAGTCGCAGAAAACAGACGAAGTATGTTGCAGAATAGAAAAGACACTAAAAGTGGGTAACTCAGTAATTCTGTAACTTTATTGAAGATGCCGGGAAAAAATGAATAGTGAGGGTATAACACAAGGTAGGCTATTGATAACAGTTTGGAGGATTTAGTTCGAAAGTTGGATGAAATATTTCATCAGCTACAACCCGTCTGTAGTCTGAATGGGACATTGATATTGCTCCACCACCCCTTACATAAACTGAAGTGTGACTGTTTGAAAGGATCTGATAGTATGAATCCACATGCTTTCAAGGATGGCATTCAGAAACTGAGTCGCACTTTAATGTGAGATGATGAAAATCAAACGGTTCTAACAGAATCATTTCAATAAATACCATATTCATTCGTGTGGGTCCAGTCACCTAACACACTAATTTTAACTAGCAGTTTGAGAATGGAAACGTAATACTCTTTACAAAATGGCAAATAAAGCCCAAACTTGTTATCAATGAGAATAGGTGTAGTGTCAAAAGAATACAATCACTTACTTTATAGCACCAATAATATATGGAGTCTTTATGGTTGATTTCTTTACCTAGACGATTGATCAACTTAGACGGGGTCCAATTTATATTCTAAATAACATACGAAAACAGTGTGAGTTTTATATGTACTACTGAATAACAGAAATACTTTTATCTACGGAGTGATGAAAATACTTATAAAAAACCTATTCATTATTATGTGTAAAATAACTGTAACCAAGATACCCTTTCAAAACTAAACAGATAAGACAGTATTAGTTTTTCTTCCTCTCTATGGGTGACGTTAACACCAAGTAAACTGACCTCGAGTTGCATGAACAAAACATTTGTCCTGTTTCAAGGATATTAAATATAACCACCATGAGTCGAGAAAATGAGATTGTAGTCGGTTGTGTGGATCAAATTAGATTTTCGGTATCATGTGTTCATTCAAGTTATTAGTGAACATTTGTATTATCTTAATAAATGTTGATTAAATAGTTCTATTCTAAAATACAGGAAGCACAACTGTCATTACTACTTTGATTGTGTTGAATAGGACAGTGGGATATGTTGTTTCCAACTATCTGACTACTAAGCAAGGCATAGATATTATTGATAGTATAGGGTTCTATGGCCACGATTGCTAAATTGCGAAGCTTACGTTGCTGTGTGTTGGATAATATAAAAGTCTGACTCAAATATAGAATAATGAATACGAAGACTGAAAAGATACTCAGAATTCAGGAATCTTTTATAAAAACCAACAATTTACATTAGTTTGAAATTGGTCCTGTTTGTAAGCCTTATCAGAAAGTTGAAACTGTCTCTATGAACAAGAAATTACTTTAGAAAAAATTGGAAACAAGCTAACTGATAAGGAAATCGAATAGACATTTCGAAGTTAGTATCCTTAAATCCACAAGCTAGAATGCATAAATCTATCAATGAGAAAATTATACACCATGAAGTATCATACGCCGGATAAACATAATATCAACAATCACAATGATTGGATTTCAAAATAAACATACCTGGGAATTTTGCTCTTCTAAAACTTCATCTAGAATGGGTAGAAGCCATTGTTCAAATTTAACATAATTATTATTTGGTACAAGTAGATTGCCAATACGATTTACACCGATTTCTCTTAATTCATGACCACGCCATCTTTCAAAATCTCCTATATATGAAGGAGCCAGACATTTGATAAAGTCTTCTTCTACACCACCAGCAGAAGTGACTATCACATCAACCTGTTGATGGAAAAATGTTCGTTGAAAAATCTTGACACAAAAACCAGCAGATATGACGAATGATACTATAATAAATCCGGCTGAGTTACTTGATTTGAGATACTCTCATTGTAGCTTTATTAAGGGCTGACGGAGAAATACCTAAAATTTGTGGTGTTTGCAGCATGACGCTCAATGCGTCTTTTCTCTGAGAAAACTAAGACCACATTTAATTATTTCTTATGGGCATCTGGAATATGAGCAAATAATAACTAAAGCATAATGCGAGTCTAAAAATCGGTCACAATAATTGAAATGAGCACGTTGCTACGATTTACACGTTACAGGTCAAGGATTCTATGCAGTTTTAGCTGTTCATTCTAATAAAGAAAAATATTAGACCCAATGCTACCAGTTCCAACAGCAAAGCTGTGAGATTTGCCCGAGCTAGTAATTAACTTATGGGTCAGATTTGAAGTATAGTTTCAAGCAGTACTAAGTGATACTGAATGCACTTCCTAGATCAAATCACTTGATTTCTACTCCAAACCATTAGACACCTTAGTGACGAAAGAATAGGAGATTTCACAAGACTCACGTATACCTCCAACCTTTCCACATTTGTAACGGTGGGGCAGACGAAAATGACTCGAATTTCGTGTCTCATGATATGAAAAACAAAATCTAATATCCGACAACAAATTCAAAACAGATTTTGAATTATTCATTCAAATGACGTATTGTGATAATAGTTCGTAAGCGGTAGCTCTAATTTAGCAAACAAAATGGAAAAGCATTTTGCATACATGCAAGTTAATTCATGTATGAGTGATCTTAATAAGTTAAATAAAAATAATAAACCTTGTTTTGATGATTTGGTCAAATTCAATTCACTTCACTAATTAATCTCAACTCATGTTCCCCAATACTCATTTTTGTTTGGCAAATGGAAGCGAGGTTTCAAGTTGCAACTAGAAGTTTATTAAATGGGGTCGGATGATACTACTTCTGTAAATAGTCCATTAACGTTACAGTGTGTGAACTTATCAGCCTTGAATCAAATGAAATTATAAACAGACAGATATTTCAAGTTGTCAAACTATCAGTAAACCACTTCGTTAAACCATAAAAGTACAGTCAGGTGGACAGAAAACTCATTAGTATAGCATGGACCTTCATAATCTAATCAATTCGACAATTTTTTACTACACTGAAACCATGTCCTCCTATTTGATACACTTCACGGAAGGATCTAGACTGACAATTCCACCCCATAACACATGAATTAAGACAAAAAGACACCAATAATTATATATTTAATCCAAATAAGAGTAAAACATATCTTTACTTTGGTTAAAGATAAAATTTGAAAGACAAAATGAGACTTTGGTAGAATTTACTAAATCTTACCATGTTATGTTCGGCCAGAAAGCGTATAACTTCTCGAACACCAGAGCTCACCATATTTGATGTATAAGCCAAAAATATAGTACATTCTGATAAAGGTCTATTTAAAGGATGAAAGTCTTGTAAAACTTGAGCTAATTCAATTTCTTCGCGTGAAGTAGGTTTTAAATTCCGTTTATTAATCTGTTGAAAATGATTGGAAAGTAACTTTATCATAATAGATGGGCATATTTAGGAAAACATTTGAAAACAGTTAAGACTAGTTGACAAATCAAAAGACTAAAAGAATGAAAAGGAAAGGTATGTATAATTTAGAAAAATTACGTGTTAAACATCAACAAACAATATATAAGCACAATTAAAAGCATAAAGAGGTTTTTGATAATTAAACATGAATATTGGTTTCAGTAGAAATTTTATTATTTGTCAAAAGACAATAGACACCACTACATATAATTATTTTTATGAACTTTAAATATCACAAAGTATTGTACTTAATATACAATGAAACTAACTATAAAAACTTCGAAATATCTACCATTTCATTCAGAACATGTTCAGCCTTTGCAAAATGAGTTGCCTGAAATCCAATACATTCAAAAGATGAGAACAAAGCATCGTAATTTAGACCAGCGTTAAAATCATATCCCTTTACTTGAAGATGAACACCTTCTGGCAAACTAGTACATGGTTTAAGAACAGCGTCTACGAAACCAGGAGGTCGGTCATCATGACAAGAAACCTGAGAGTGATTCTTTTCCTGAAACAAGGTGATGAGAAAAAGCAAATGAATAAGCAACAAATCTAGTATTTTAACTTAAAACTTATATACATATATTTACAAAGTAGATTGAAGCACACATGGAGTGTAAATTTGGGGTATACTAAAGTACCATCCAAACCAGATTACTAGTGTTAACCTATGTGTCCGCCACCTTCCATTTCTTTATATCAGCGATACTCTTTTCGATCTCATCAATAGTTGGAGTACTTATGTTAATTTCACATCTAGGAAGATAAGGGGTAACTCAGGGAAAGTTGAGCTATTCCTTAGTGTTCTATACATTGAAATAACCCTCTAGATGAGGAGGATAACGATTCTATCATTTTCTGAGAGACCTTTACTAACAGCTGTTCTTTTCAATGCCAGTTTCCTTGGTGAGGCGGAATGCTTTTGTCCCTTCATGTCATTCAGCACACTTGTTGTTCTGCAGGGCTTAGTAGTGTTTGTGTAAGGGAACTAAAATGTACGGACAAATTTAACAAATACTTCTTGCAACCATTAGGAAACTCGTTTCATGTGAACCATATATATGGTTTTAGAGAATCCTTGAGTTACAGCTGATCTCAGTTGATGATTAAGACCATAATGCTAACTCTCAAAATTCAATTACAAACCACAACTATCACTCACAAATTTCAGCCGAAGGCTAAATGATCGTCGATTCGAAAAGACAGCTCTGAGGATCTTCAGAATTTATAACGCTTTATTAATCCTCATTTAAGTAAACATCTTTTCGAGCAGATAAGTAGTTCAAGTTCGCAAGTAGCTTATATTTTTGCCGAAATTAATATAATACTTGAGTTTAAGAATCATACTATAGTTAGACGCGTAACTACTCATATTTCAAATGGTTCAAATGGTTCAAGTATGTATTTAGTATCACGTCAGTATAACCTGTATAGTAAATGGTTTCATCAAATGAATAAGGTGGATTCCCTGAGTGAGACGCTAATATCAATTACTCGGGATACAACATGAAACATACTTCCATCCTCAAGGTAGCCACAGCATCGGGTACCCGTGGTCCGGTAACGATTTATTAGCATCGTCCGCCGCTGAATACCTCTGAGCACTTGAAGGTCAAACTGTCGTAAGACGATTGGTGAGTCACCTTGACAGTTTGTAAGCTTTTCCAGAAGCAACTGGGTCAAGACAAACTGAAATTTGATTCGAGTCCAGACGCATTATGTCTGATACCCTCCGCTGTTTGAGTAGCAAACAAGATGCTAAATCTCGAGCGCCACTTAAAAGGATAGTCGTATTTTTCCTCTCTGAGTCAAATTTAAGTTTTGATTGTTTATCAAGAGTCTAGACCACTGTTTCTAGCTTTAACTAAGGTTACTTCAGTTGGAGTAACATCAGGAGTACCGCCTTTTCTTATGAAAGTTCATGTACTTTTTTTAGTACATTCGCTTTTTGTCTGTTGCACTTGTGAACCTGACACTTCGCGGTTTCACTTTTTTGTGTAGCGGCAAATAAATCTTCAAGATAAAGTCTTCGACATTGGATACTGACCACATTAGTTTTAATGAACTCACCTAGCTGAAGGCGCTCGGTCATGCATCTGCACCAGATCACGAGTGGGAACGCCGTGCTCAATATCCCCTGCAATCGCTAGCCAGATTAGATCAGACGATCCTCGATATATTGATAGACTATCAAATATATCTACGAACCTCCTCGCTTCTGTCTTTTGATCTCACTTGGTGGGTGCGATTCATATTAGAAGGTTACTGATTGAAGTGTTGTCAAACTACAAATACCTGTGACATCTTCAGTGGAAAAAAGAAATTCAACGACCGGGCTATCGACACCCTATAGAAAGGATCATGTAGTGCGATGAGTGCAATAGGCTGTACCATGAATTATGCACAAATCTGGAGCTAGCGGGTTTCAAAAGGTTTAATAAAATGGATGCGCGTAATTATGTCAGCAATGCTGTTGAGACGCAAACAGCTTGCTATCCGAAACTATTGCAATGGCAAGCGATTCTAAAAGTTATAATAACAAGCGTGTAGTTGTAAATAAATCCGCGAAATGAATAGTTCTGTAAGTCTTCGACACTTGATGCTGACCTTATTGGTTTTACTGCACACACCTAGCTAAAAGGACTCAGTCACGCATCCACATAAGATAATGAGTACGATACGTAACACATCCCTTGCTACAACTAGCCATCGTGGTTCAAATGCTTCCCGATATATTGATAGCCTTTCAAATGTATCTTTGAATTCTTTCGTTTCTGACTTGACTGCGTTGGAATACTCCAACTCCAAAGGTGTTAAGTGTAAAGGCGTTATCAAGCTTCGAATATCTGTTTTATCTTCAAGTATACTAGAGAGGTATCAACCGGTGCTCGCTCCCTCGGCACACAAATTGATGTGCATTCATCCCAGGTAAGTTCAAGGTTGATTTGCTAGCATGAACCAATGGAGGAAAAACAGACTTCAAAGGTGTTTGTTAAAATTAAAAGCCAAAGAGTTTTGACATGAAAACACTAAGCGCATTGAGAATGACGCTTGGAGGAAACGCAATTAGGTATACAATCAGATTGATTGTCAGAGATGGATTTCAGTTGTATGAACTAATCATGAACAAATCAAAAGTCACCGCTTCACTATTGAAATCTCTATGAAATATTAGACTTGTGAACACCTTCTCTATAATACAAGGGTTTATGAAGTAAATATCAGTCAAGGAAACAGGAATCGTGTGTCCAGTTTCATCTGCATGTTCATTAAATTATTTAACTACCGTTTTTTACCTTTATAGCAAACTCTTGGTAACTTCATGAAGTTAGTTCCGTTTACTTAACGAAAAAAGTGTAATGTTATCACAAAACATTATTACGTATCCAAAATCTGCATACTCAATATGAAGTTTATATTCATATTGTTGTAAATAGTAACTACAGTGTAATAAATCTTACGTTTATTTGATTATTCCTTTGTGTGCTCAGTTTCACCAATTCACTAGTTGAATTTCTCACATGACTTGGCCTCACTTTTTAACCCTAATGACGGGAATATAGTAGCCTGCAGAATTTTCGGGAAACACGGTTACATCTCTGGATCCTGTGCTGGGAGACACAAGTTTGTCGAGAGTCTAACACCGTCGATGTTATGGCGGCGTTATGTCATGACATATTCTCACTAGTGTCGATGCGTGTTCCACTGATGCTAATATTGTCGAAGACACTCTTCTATACTTCATTGCTCGTCCTTATTCATCCGTTACAGGGCTGTCTTTTTTCAAGGTTGCTGACAATTATTTTCTCGGAAATTTTAATAGAACGGTGATGTTGCGTAGTGAATCTTGAGTATCTGTATTGTATGTACCTCATACTCACCTGTGATCTGACCTACAAGATCTGTTGTAGGCAGTCGCTATAAGATTTCAGCATGCTCCGTGAAACCAACCTTTGCATTTGCCACAATGCATACCACAGGTAAGAGTGAAACGGCATCCAGATTGCTTACAGTAGGTTTTCATGGCTATAGTGATGTATGAATTGCTAGATAGATCTGTAGTGGTGTTGGTTCCCCACCACACGTTCTTAGCTCCACAGACATCGTCATTCTGCATAACTTGTCTTTATTCACATTAAATATATTATTCTATCTTCAGCACAAGTGTGTTCATCAGAAGTGCTAAGTATCATGTTGTTAAATGTCACGATACGATGAGTCAGTGTAAACAATGATGTGACTTCCATGTAAGATCTTATAGATCAGGTAGTCATACCATTACAAATCTAAAATTTTGAGATGTGGTCTATTATTAGATTAGTACTAACACCGAATAAGACTATAAATCCACAAATACTAGCAAAAGTTCACGACAGTAAAACAAAAAACAATGCACTCGAAACAGATGAAAACGGGTGGTACAAAAAGTGAGGATGTACTAAGACTAGCCTAGAAGTGAGAACTATAAAGACTGATTAGTGAACTTAGTCAAAACCACAGTTTACTGTTAACTCGGATAACGCTCAAGAAGAAAAGTAATCTGCCTAACATTAGGCTTGGAACAGATTCTTTGTATCAAAAATGGTTCTTTTGTTGCGGTAGGACATAGCAAAAGTCTAAGAAATGCGAGTCACGTTAGAAACAAACTTCCCGCTCATAAAATGCAGTGCATCGGAATCAGACGCTTGCCTTCAAGATTTCAATATTGATGGCCAATATTTTTCCGGAGACCACACACCTAGATCACCACCATGAACTAGACTAAGAAGACGGCTTCAGTCAATTTTCTATGCTTCATTTCAAATGAATTTATGCTTTAGGCCTAAATATGACAACTATCAATCTGAATTTTAGCCGTGTAGTCACACATGTCGAAGATAAGTAAGTGTATATTTCTTGGTCACTGTAACTATCATAGATTTGTTTTGAAAGAGCAATAGTTGGACAAGGAAATACAGTTTTATTAGTAAAAATGAGCTAAAACCTAATACTAACAACAACTTTGGAGTCACAATCAGTTGGATGTGTCAGCTGCACAGATCAATCTACAACATGTGGACGGGGAAGTCCATCCTCAACATGATATGGACGCTCATTGAGACTTCTTACATCATAGGATCCTATGTGCTACAGAACGGTTTGTCCAGAAAGCAGTCCCTGAGAGCTGCAACGAACATACAGTCATCAATGATCACACCCTTCGGTTGCCAAGACGCGAAGTGCACTAGTAGGCGGAATGTAAACGAACTGTTAAGAACAATACAAATATGTAGTGCAAGCAAGCGAAGAGCCAATACACAAATTCAGTAAGGGAATACAGGCTTCAGTGTCAAGTAAAGTTAGTCAATAAATTCGTCCCCGATCGAGAAAGCTTATTCCGTCACGCAGCCTCACTTCAACAAGTCAACTCTGAGTTTCCCAGTTGTTAAGTCATAATGACCCAACGATCAGCGAGGGTGACTCAGGACATTATTTTTTGACATTCCAGCCGTTCCATACTAACTAAATCGACAAGGTTTCCTGTTGCAACTCGACAGGACACTCAAAAAGAACCTGAGTTCCGACTTCGTGTATCAGAAACTGCAGCACCCAACACAAGGACACCTCTCCTGATCCCGATATGGTCCACCTTGTTATACTAATGAAAGCAGCTTCAATCTTGGCAACACCGCGTTATATCCTCAAATTCTCTAGGCCGAGATACTTACTAACTTACTTACTTACGTCTGTTACTCCTCGTGAAGGAGCATAGGCCGCTCACCAGCATTCTCCATCAAACCATGTCCTGGGCGATCCTTTCGAGCTCTTTCCAGTTCCTATTTATCCTTTTCATATCTGTTTCTATTTCCCGACGTAATGTGTTCTTTGGCCTTCCTCTTTTCCGCTCCCCTTCAGGATTCCAAGTTAGGGCTTGCCTCGTGATGCAGATTGGTGATTTCCGTAGTGTATGTCCTATCCATTTCCATCGTCTTTTCCTAATTTCCTCTTCAGCTGGAAGCTGGTTTGTTCTCTCCCACAGAAGGCTGTTGCTGATGGTATCCGGCCAATGGATGTTGAGTATCTTGCGTAGACAACTATTTGTAAATACTTGTACTTTCTTGATGATGGCTGTAGTAGTCCTCCAAGTTTCAGCTCCATACAGTAGGACTGCCTTGACGTTCGTATTGAAAATTCTCACTTTGATATTGGTTGAAAGTTGTTTTGAGTTCCATATGTTCTTCAATTGTAGGGATGCGGCCCTTGCTTTGCCAATCCTCGCCTTTACGTCTGCATTCGATCCCCATTGTTCATCGATGATGCTTCCCAGGTCCGTGAAGGATTCCACGTCTTGCAGAATTTCACCACTAAGTGTGGTTGGGTTAGTGTTCTCGGTGTTGTATTTGAGAACCTTGGTTTTTCCTTTGTGTATGTTGAGGCCCACTGATGAAGAGACTGCTGCTACACTAGTTGTCTTCACCTGCATTTGTTCGTGTGTATGGGATAGGATGGCTAGGTCATCTGCGAAGTCCAAATCGTCTAATTG